TAAAGTCTCTTCTGGGGATTGCGAGACCATGGAGTCAAGAAACATTTGCAATTTTGTTCCTAAAGCCTCGGAGTCATGTCAGAATTCTAATATATCGAACGTGGGCTATTCCGGAGAAATATTACGACATTCAAAATGACGCCTCTCGTATGTCGGCCATCTTGGATGTCATTGATATTGTGGATTAATTCTGGGAATGCCATCAAACGTTTTGCCGTTTTGATAGGATCCATCGTCTTCTTTAAAACATGTTCACACTGCGTTATATCGGAAACCGTGCATGTTTTCTTCAAAGTGACTTGACAGCCATATGCAAACGCCGACCGCTGATTACTAGCAGATAAGAGCACTGAAAAGATCTTCACGCGGTTAGCACTAGTTCTGACCCTAGTGCCTGAAGGCATGATGAATCACACTCAGTCACAGCCCTCTAAATGTAATTCCTTACCTGCATAGTGTAGTTTGAAACCTAATCCATTAATTTTGTTATCGCTCACGAAAGTAATCACCATAACATTTGAAAATGATTCAATGAAGGCTGGAAATCTTTCTCCGCAATATTTTCCCAGAAACGTTCTGGGCTTAAGTTCACTATATATCTCTAGGAAGTCGTTAAAGCAGGAAGGATGATCTTCCAATTGGAATTCCAGGAATCGCAGTTTTATGGTGTTTCCGCGAGGAACATTGATGGTCCACCGGCAACGCATCAGCGGTGGATAATACCCAGGATGGTGTGGGGATAAAATCATGCCTGACATTGTGGTAAAGTTTCTGTTGCATTCTGAAAAAGATAGTTAATTCATTCAATTCGGACCATACACATCTCCATGACTAGTGCATTTCAGTGTGAGTATTTTCAATGTTTTACATTCAAAAGATGCGATAAATTCAAACTAAAATGTACTAGTCATGGAGGTATGTATAGTGTGCATTAATTTGGAAAAATTAGCGTAACGTCAAAACAGGGAATGTTGTAACGTAGCTTTTTACAGGTTCGTAGGATAGGTTTGTCTTGAAATTTTAAGAAGTTGCAGTGAATCAATCTCAATGAAAGGTTCAGACATTATTATATACATTATGAAGATTGATGGGAAGAGATTTGAAAAAAATTCGTTGGAGTCGCTTCAGAGATTTTTCAAAATGCGCTAAAAGTCCAAATTTTGAATGAAGTTGCACTTTGACAGGTGGTGAGAAAACGGGTTAGATCGCAAGAGAATGAGAACGAAAATACACTAAAATTTCTTAGCATCGAGATACGATATTAAGCAGCATTCTGACGCTCTTTAAGATTAATTTGAGTCATTTATAACGTTTTTATGAAGTAATCTATCACGGCTATTGAAAATTTAAGGTTTGAAATATACTTTCGTTTTAGTCGAGTTCAAACACACAGAATTTTTTACGTCTTATGGTAGTTGTTTGCTAAACACCAAACTTTAAGTTCCTAGTGTTGGATTTTCAGTAGCTGGTCTAGGTCCCACAAAATTTGGCTTTCATCAGTTTCAAAGTTTTTTGTTTATTGTTGTCATAGTAATATAGATTTACTTAAAACTACATTTCCACAAATTTCAATCCATAGCCAATTACTGGTGAAAGTTTTATAGCGATCGGACAAGGAAAAAAACACTTTTAAGGCGATTGAAAAATATTGGTATGACCTCTGGAAAACTGTATCGAAACGCCTTAAAGCAAAAGTCTCTATTGAAAATACAATCCCATTATAGTCAATTCAGTAACGAAAGTGCGACCCCTTCCCGCAGAAAAACCCTATTAGCCTTGGAAGTAACTCCCCCGGTCGTCTACGCGAATCTTGATTTTTTTTTTTAAATCACTTATTTTGTTATAGGTATTTGTTTGGACGGGGCCCAAGACCACTCTCTAGAGAATGGTTTTCATTAGTGGATTCAGTGGTTTCGTGTGGACAGAGGGCCAATAAGTGTAAAAAAAATGTGGTTGTTTAAAAGATATTTGGATCCGCGAGGACGTGGCCTAAGCTAAATAACACTGCACCTTTAGTTGCCGTAAGGGACAATGGATGGCAGTATCCTGGAACCACGTGAATACCTCTGACACCAATATAACCAGGTTCGCTGCCAAAATCTGCTTCAATAGATACCTGCAGAAATATTTAGCAATTATTGAATGAGGCTGAGTAGGATGTGAAGACTAGCAGATCGAGAAGGATGTTATCCACCGAAGCTGAAGTGGATAACATCCTCCAAAGACCTACATCATTCTTCACATCATAGGAAAGCCAAATTCAATAATTGTTTTAATATTCATTCAAAATATTTCTAAGTTCTTTACATGCTTACTTCCTCGTAGACTTTCTTCAAAACTTTGGCCAATTTCTCGGCACAGGATATAAACAGATGTTTTTTCTAGCAGATTCTCCTCAAAATGTAGATAAAATTCATCGAGCAATATGTTTTGCGTATTATTGCATTTCTTGAATTCAGTTTAAATCAGAAGTTCAGCTATTTCGTCTTTGAATGGCGTAAAAGCCATTTTTTTAAGTTCCCTTTTGTCCTAGCAGCCTCGTTTCCAATCAAATATACCAGTTTCGTTATTACAGTTAATTGGTCTTTGTTAAAACAGCAAGATTTGGATACCGTCATTATTATAAAAATTTCATGTGATAATACTACAGAGAACTGTTTCTTTCCAGTTTTGTCTTATTTTCAGTGTCTTATGTACCAAATTCCCCTAAGACGTTTATTGGGAAAACAAAACATAAAAACTAAAGAGTTTATGTGGTGACTTGTTTTTCATTACCTTGTATTTTGTAACACTCGGAAGTGCCACTCTTCCGTATTTCCAGATCAAGTCAGTGTTGCTTGATTCGTCCACTGCCCACATCAGCCTCCTCTGGTAGTCAGTTAAATTCAGTTGCTGGTAAATACGAAGGAAGTGTCTCCCAGGGCCGTAGATTAGATATCTGAACCGCATACAGATTTTGTGACCCTCATAAGATCGTTCATACAGTGGACTCTCAAATAAAGATGTTTGAGATGGTTGCGTCATGTTGTTATTGCACACCATAAAGCGGTATCCTTTGATGAAAGAAATTTTAAAAAAAATGTTTAGAAATATTGACATGACGTCATAACTAAGCAAGAGGTTACGCCATTCACGCACCTTAAAAGAAAAAACTCACAAAAACATCCAGAAACAAATCATTCCTTTTGTAGGCTTCTTAAGCTATTGATAAATTGCGTTCACAACTGCGAGGACCTTTCGTTTTTTGATTTCATTTCCGCAGTTCTTATATGATTTATTTCATGTACATCTATCACACTCATCTCTTTCACGGGAACATATATGAACACAATTGACCAACTCCCAACCTCAGTGGCTTCATGGCTTAGTTGGTTAGAGCATCGCACCGGTATCGCGAGGTTACGGGTTCAAATCCTGTTGAAGTCCAATCGCATAAATTTTGTTGACTGCTGGGAACGTTTTTCATTTGATTCAGTTTTTAATAATAATTGATAGACCTGAATTTAAGGTAAAATCTATCACTCACTTTAGATTCAGTCTCATTAAACTTATCGATTTGAGGACCTCAGCAAGGGGATATTTGATAGAACTTTTATTGATTTGCTAATTAAAGGTAATAAAAAAGGTTGAGTTTGATCGTCCGGGTGAACGTAGCCCTGAATAGGACTGTTGTGGTTGACAGTGACTGACGTTTCGACAACCTGTGCGGTAGTCATCTTCAGAGTCAAAGTGATACAACTCACTTTGACACTGAAGATGACTACCGCACAGGTTGTCGAAACGTCAGTCACTGTCAACAACAACAGTCCTGTTCACGACTACGTTCACCCGGACGATCAAACTCAACCTTTTGAAATGACTCCTGGGTTCAAACCTTTATGGTATTATTCATTCAAAACATTTCTCCGTTTCTTATTGGCTAAAATCCCACGCATAATTTATCACAACCACGGCTTGAAAGAATTTTGCGATATGTGAACTAGTGACGTCAATCGTGAAGCAAAATTACAAAAATACATAATTAGGGCGCTTTCCAAAAGTCAGAACTGGCCGGTCGGACCTATGGCCGAACCAAACATTTTGGCAATGAAATAGGCTTTTTCCAAGAGGTTTTACTGAAAATCATCTCCTTTGTGCATAATATTTAGGATTTGACTGATCTGGATGGTTAGTTTTGATTAAAAAAGGAATTCTCATTACGATGGGAATGGACTGGCCGGTCAGTTCTGACAAATGGAAAGCGCCCTTAGTTACATACTTAATTGCACAGCTCTCCCTTGGGGGCTCTTTCGCCATACATTGTGAGCCTCGCTCACCACATGCTTTGCGTGTCTTAGATCACGGATACGTGCTTATTAAATTGCTACAACAAAGGTGGACGTACTTGGCTTTGTTTTAGTAAACTTAGCACGTCAATCTTTTTTTTTCTTGTAGCAGCTATATGTCAAGCTAAGCGTGCGTTTTGATTGACCCCGAAACGTCGTGTTATAAATCTTCCATTTTTCCTCTTAATTTGAGTATTAGACACGCTAAGCACGCTGTGTAATCAGCGAAATGAACCGCAACTGATAACTGTAGTAGTCAATAAAACTGAATGTTTTAGCTTGTTTTTAAACTAGCAATTATTTTGAGTAAAAGATAAAACAATTATTTAATTCGGCTTTCTATCTCCATAATTCTTCAGATGATACGAAAGCCGAATTCAATTACTGCTAACTATAGTATGTTCACGGTATGTGGCCGCGGTTACTTGCAGTGCGTACGTCACCTTCAGGATCTGCGCATAATGCAGGTTTTTCGACTTTCACTTTTCCAACAACACCAGTAATAAACTGCGACCAGGGTAAGAGAAGCCCAAGCAAAACAACTTTACCACAGCCGTGTGACATCCATTTTATATCCTCGCCTTTAAGGGCTTTGTTAAAGATGTTAACATGGCTTATCAGACCAATGAATTGTCCCGCTTGAGGATTTTGTGTTGCCAGATCCTCTGTCAGGCCAACAATAAATTCACCTTTTCCTGTGGAACATTAAGTGACATTAAGATTTTTGGAAGCTTCGTTTACGTTCTTGGAGACTAGAATTTTTTGTTTCTTTTTGTCCTTTTTTGACTCGAGAAGTCACCTTTCATCTTTCAACTTTCTACATAAGTATTTTCTCAGTGGTTTCAAAGAAATATTCCAATAATTCAGTTTTTATCGTTAAATATGTATTTATAACTGATTCCAGGTACGAGCGAAGTAGAATAAGATCGGCTTATTTAGTTTCAAGTTCTACTCAGAGCAACAAAGCCATAGCATGGCAGCTGTGCATACCAGGAATCGTTTCCCCCTCAGAAAATTTGGTTCCTGAAAATATTGACCAGTCGTTATGTAGAGTGACGTTTCCGCCTTCAGAAGTCCATACCAAACAAATATGATGCCACTTGCCGTTATTTGCTGTTGAGTTAGTTTTGATCCTAGAAAAAAGGCAACATTGTATTAAGAATTAACCTATTGACTCCCCGCTGCGATATTTTATGGACGATAAAAACAAACAAGATGAACATTTCCCTGCCTGTTAGGAAGAGGCAAAATAAATTGAAATTAAGTACACTTACGGCTTCGACTCGCCTACATAAATGTAGAATCCTCGATAGTCCACAAGTGCAATAGCAGGGATGTATTTTCCGTTAGTTTCACGGACTCTGTACCATATGGGAGTCCCTGCACTCGTATTATCGGAAGTCTTCATCCAGAAGCAGATCGTGAAAGCAACGAGATTTGGAAGATCAGTAGTTATGTTGACATATCCATTGTGTGTGAAGTTAAGTTGGTAACTACTTTCCTTCATAATGCCTATAGAAGATAACATCGAGATTAAAGCCCATTTGCAAGAACTGCTTTTCTCGGTGAAGATCGCGATGCATGAACTACATAAAAAGATAGTTTGATATCTAACACCTAGCTTTACATTACAGGACAAAGGCTCCTTTCAAAATGTACTGAAAATTAAAGGGAGTAAAATGTCCCCCTTTTTAACAACCTGGCTCTGATCTTCTCCCCTTGCTTTCCAAATACGACTTAACTTGCTTGGTAATGGCGGCCATATCCAGACCCACTGCTTGTTTCCAGGGTGAAACACTTTGGTTAGAATTTTTCCATCCACATAAACCTTCGTAAAACTGAAAACCTCCAACGTTTACTAGAAAAGAGTAGAAGAGAGAGAAAGAGTTGAAAAATTTGACAGCAAGATATGTAATGAAAACAGCACCTAGAAAACGAATGAAAAACATTGATGTAAAACGGCTCAATCATGCAATTAGTGAATTGACTGATAATCAATAATCTGTACGTAAAGGAAAAAATAACAACATAAGTAAGTAAAATTGATTGATTGATTGATTGATTGATTTACTCAATTCAATTACACAGATATCAAAAATAATACGATTAAAAGCGAGAATCAAATATATAAGTGATATCTGCATCACTAGGACAGTTTATACAGAACACAAGGATTCCTCATAAAAATTAACTGCCTGGAACAAACAATAAAATATAAAAAATCTATATATAGGGAAATTCTAATCCCAAATATATATTCATAAAATCTTGTATGCTAAAAATAGTAAAAATTATATTCATAAAAAAATTATGTAAGTCTATATAAATCAAACTAAAATTCCTTAAACAAAGATAACTGATCAGTTATTTGTAGGGCTTTCCAACACAAATGAACGAAGACTACAAAAGGGTGGTGCTGGTTCCTCTATTAAGTTCCACTGCACCACAAGTATTCCTAATCCATACCTATAGGTGGTTTTCACGTTACGTCATCACCGCCATGCTGGTGGACGGTAAACAAAAGATTGCTCATTAGCTCGTTTTGTTTGTCCACCAGCATTTGTTCATTGCACCATTGTTATTTGTGTCTCCCGAGATTGCATGAAAACCACCTATACATGCATGTATTGTATTCTGGTAAAAAAAGGGGAACTCACGCGCTTCTTGTGCGCGGGCGCTCCGCTATTAACTATTATTGCTACTAAACTTTCATACCAATACCCTTGCAAAGGGTAAAAGCTTCTTCCGTCGTAAGTGGTCGCAGAAAGACCATCAGATCTCTCAGGGAACCATGGAGTATTTCGCTTGTGTCCTTTTTGAAACCAAGCTCATATGTCGTGTGATTTGTCAGGATGAGGTCAAAATCTTCACCAGTATAATGTTGTTCTCCCGTGTACACACCATTCAAGTACAACTTTCCTGTACGGGTAGAGCGATTCCAGACAAATACCATGTGTGTCCAGATTTTTGCATGAACGTCTCTAAATTATAATAGAAAATCGATATAGCCCACAATCATTTAAAATTCGTACGTATGCACTTATATATGTCCCACTCGAGAACTAGAATGCATGTACAGCACCATACCACATCACATCGAATTTTTTCCAAGGATCAGCCTTTTTTAGCCTTAATTAACTATGCAAAAGGCAAATAATTCGACCCATTTGAATCTATCAACCATGGATTGGAAGCAAAATCATGACAATAAATGTCTAGTAATTTTTTATGGGCACCCAGCAAAGTTGATGCTGTTTCATCGTTTATCATAATTCCTTACCGGGCCTGGTATTCAAGAACAAGTGGAAAAGAATCTGTGTAAAAAGTCGTGCGAACGCTTTTTTACTAACCTATCGCTCGTCATATTAAGCAAGGTCTGCACTACACCACTTCGTCGCAATTCCACGAATACTTTTCTGCGATTCACATACATTCTAAACTGCCCTGGTGATGACCAATCAGAAATGAGATGTCCAAGACGGTGTGAATTGTGGACGTTAAATCGCAGGGCGATTGAAAAGCTGCTCTTCCTGAAATTGATTGCAGGAATTTCTGCATAACCAGATCTTCCGTCAAGGTGCAAAGATTTTATCCCGCCGTCAGTTTGGTATGAAGCAGTACCTTCCAAGCTAAAAGCATATTGAATAATGTTTCTCATATATTCACCAGGCTTGAAATTCAACATCATATCTCTATCGTTGAGCATAAGCACAAATAGACATTCTAGTCCTAGCACTATGCAGGATGTTTGGCACATGAGCCTTGTTTAGTGGCTGCTTAGTTCCCACCAGTGTCCGCCTTAGTAGTAGAGCATATGGACAAGTAACCAGAATGTCATAGCTTCGATTCCCATTGGGCCGGAGTACTCAGGTTTTTTTCTTCCGAGCCGTCTCTGTCACTGACTGAAAGTTAGAATTCTTTGCCAAAATTTTTAGGACATGACATATTTGGATACTCGGATAAACAATATGTAATAAATTAGCAACTGCGTTCATTTCTGTTCTATGCCTATTTTCAAATCTCTGTCTAGCCACCATTTTCTGAATATTCCACATTAACCCCCAATTTTGTTGATTCTTGTGTAGTATGGAGGTGAAAAACTGTTTACCTATGGGTCCTTTAAATCGAGTGCGTGTTTTTAGTACTAACAATGTAGATCAGCGTATTGTACATTCAGTATCGCAGGTTTTAAGTTTGTTACTCACTGGTCAGTGAGCTATCACGATCTTATATTAAGCATACCTTATATTTCCGTCGCTTCCGTCTAGTTTCCAGAAATACTGCGTTTTAAGAAGGTTTTTTCCATATTCTGTTCTATTTTCTACGGAAATATCAAAAACATTTAACAATTAAAGTTAAACTGAAATGGCGCACATTAAGAGCTTGATTAACTGACACATTCCTATGGCAGTGTTTAAGAAACGCTGTACAAAAAGAGCTTTTTTTGATTTAGTAATCGACTGGGCGTACTTTTCATTGGCATCCTTCAGTTTCCAAAGAGTATGGTGCCACCCTCTGATTAGTAGTTCTCGAACAGCGCTTTGTCTGTCTGGAAAGACCAATTCCAGAATAACAGTCCCTTTCACACTTACAGTGAGCAGATTTGATCAGTTGCTGGCCTATCTCCTTGATTTCGGGCCTTACTCGCTTGTCTCTTTGTCTCAGCCTGTTCGGTAGATGTCTTTTCAAACTCAGAGAGACCTTGCTGCACATGCCTGCCTCCAAGGTGAACGTTCTGAAGCCAAGGTTTCCCATCGGTTGACGTCAATGCCCAAGGCCTTCAGGTCCCTATTGCAGACAACTTTATAGGCAGCGTAATTGGGGTCTGCCAGTGCGGCGCTTTCCGTTAGCCAATTCTCCATAAAGGAGATTCTTTAGGATAGGGCTGTCATCCTTTCTCACAACATGGCCGGGCCAGCGCAAACGTCTCTGTTTCAGTAATGCATACATATTGGGAATTTCAGTTCGCTCCAGGACTGTGTTGTTTGGAACTCTGTCCTTCCAGGTGATGCTAAGTATGCGTCGGAGACAGCGCATGTGGAAAATGTTAAGCTTCCTCTCCCGTCGTGCGTGAAGAATCCAGGACTCGCCGCCGTACAGCAGTGTGCTCAAAACGCAAGCTCTGTAGACCTGGATCTTGGTATTTTCCGTCAGCTTCTTGTTGGACCATACTCTCATAGTCAGCTTGGAAATGGTAGTAGCAGCCTTGCCGATGCGCTTGTTTAGCTCGGACTCCAGAGAAAGAGTATCAGAGATACGAAGTAATTGACAACTTCCAGTTCATGTTTCAAGATTGCGATGTTGGGAAGTGAGTCCACATTCTGAGCCATAACCCGTGTCTTCTTCAGGCTGATGGTCAGCCCAAAATCTTGGAAGGCCTTCCTGAAACGGTTCATGAGCTGCTGAAGGTCTCGGCTGAGTGGGCGGTGATGGCTGCATCGTCGGCAAAGAGGAAATCACGCAGACACTTCATTTGGACTTTGGTCTTAGTCTGGAAAGTTTGAAGAGCTTTCAGTCTGACCTGGTCTGGAGATAGATGCCCTCTGTTGCAACTCTAAAGTCTTGTTTCAGCAGGACAGCGAAGAAAACCCGAAATAAGGTCGGTGCGATGACGCAGCCCTGTTTCACTCCACTTCGGATGTCGAAAGGGTCTGATGTTGAGCCGTCAAAGATCACAGAGACCCCTTCTTGTCTACGTAAAAGGATCTAATTATGCTGAGCCTGGAGGGACATCCGATCTTGGGCAGAATCTTGAATAGGCCGTCTCTGCTTACCAGGACAAAAGCCTTCGTGAGGTCTATGAACTTCAAGGCTACGAAGAGGCTACTTTTAGGTATTCAAAATTACATTGTAACAGAACAATGCTCTTTGGAAAATATTTAAGGATAAAGATAACAATGCATTGCACTACCGAAAAAGTTGCTTACCGCTGTGAAGTGATGACTCGCACAAATTTGGTCATCGCATTTCAGTAAAAATAACCCAAGCGGTTGTTGTTCAACGGCGTGAATCACATTAACTACTTAAATATCTTCATTCCTACTACAAAAATATAAATCATTTCATCAGCTCTAAGTCAGTGACATAATTACACTAAAAGCAACTGACTCATAATTATGCTTTGATCAGGAACGTGTCTCCCTTTCATACTCAATAGGGTTACCACTTTCTAACACTTACCTTGCCAGGGAATTGCTTGACATATTTCGGTTTGGAAGGTTATGTCGTCCACGGCTAGGAATTCCCGCTTCAAGGACGTCCGACCTTCAAGAAGGACCTAGTTACATCCCCAAAATCAAAAATCAAAGAATTTACACTTGTCATGATACTAAAGTGTTATCTCGGTAAGACAAAAGGCAACGTCAAAGCGTGACATGCAAGTTTCCAAGTCCCTTTTACCGTAACACCCATTTTTTAATGGTCGTTTCCTTATTTTGCCAGAGAAGCTTGTAAATAGTTACAAATAAGCCTCTAAAGATTCAAATAACTTGAAAAACATGCAATCAAACGAAACCCTTTTTAAAACTTGGCAGTTTAATCCGTAATTTATAGCATGTTTAGCTTGAGCCTGTTTTGTCTACTAAGTCAAACTATGACATTGTATGCTTGTCAAGAAATTATCGGCACGGAAACATCAGATGAAGTAAACAGAAATCATTCAATAGCCTTAGAGGTTTCTATTTAACTGAGGTATTCACCTGGTGTGGCTTTGAGCCAGAGTCGATTGGCAAGCGAACATACATCCAATGTCCAGCTTTTCCTTGATGAGAGTCTGAACTCCACAAATTGGCTTTAGTTTCATTGATTATTAGGTACACCTGGAGAGAACTGGATCCAGTGGTTCCTATATAATACCAGAACTGCATACAGTTCCAACCTTCTTCAGGCAAAATGCGTCGACTTTTCAATGTCCCATAGCACCACGATTCTTTGTACGTGTTGGAACGATCTTGCAAATATGTAAATCCTCCTGCAGAATATCACATTTGAGGAATTTACAGCGAAATGCTCTATTTGCTTTATTAAGACAAAAGGGGAAAATATACGTACCCAAGGTGTTTTGCCAATCCTTTTCCAAAAATTGCAAAGGGAAAAGTTTACTCATTCGCCAGTTGTGACTCGGCTTCCAAGCGCAATGATCCAGCTCAAACAGACACCCGGGAAGCTCTGTTAAATACAGCAGTTGAAGAGGAGAATAAACCGGTAAAGTGAATACATTCGTTTAACCTGTGTCTTCGGACATAGGTAGTTTAAATCTATCACGACGAGGACCTCTTCAAAGTCTCCGGAGACAACATAGATATAAGACACTGTTCCAAAAAATGATACTTGAAAATTTAGTGAATTCACTATTTTCGCACTGCTCATAATGCGCTCTGTTTGCTCCCCAAAATCTCGCATACGCATTCTTCTCGATTTCCTTTCGGAACGATCGTACTGCCTCAATGAAACTGATAACAACGATTAGGAAAAACGTTAGGGGTAGGGGGTGGGGGAGGGCGTTGGAGGGGCAAACACTGCGTACTATGAGCAATGCGAAAGTGACTATGGGCAATGCGAAAGTGTGAAAAGTACTATGATCATGCCATTTACATATCATTCACGCTTTTAACTTTTTTCAAGCTCGACTGTACCAGGTACAAGCCCTAATTGAGGCTTTCTTCTTTAGCCAGACGTTTAATAGAATTTTAAAAAGTTTAGTAATGGTAAACTAACCACTTCCCGTTATGGTCTCACATATATTTTCGCCAAGTAAGAACAGATCATCAATGGCAATGTCTCCGTAAATTCCACTACCAACCGCAACACCCTCTAAGATGACCTGGAAAGAGGAATCAGACGAGTTACTTTAAAGGGTGCCACATCTCAGTTCAACGAACATATTGCTCAACAACGAGATCCGTTCTCGCTTATAAAAGATTTGCCATTTTCTAAGTTAAATTGAGTGAAGAAAGCTCACTTGCATTCCTACAAACTGAGTTATAAATTTCGATTCAAAATTATAGTAGTCACCAGGGGAGAATCAATCAATTTGTGACTGAACTATCTGCCCCTAGTTTCTTTGAATAGCCCTGCGTATTATGGACGAGAACTATATTTATTTAATTTATATCATGAATCTACAGCAACAACAACAACGTCTGACTAGCCCTCTCATTTTCTGATTGTCAAATCTCAGTGATAAAAGATCATCATTAGTACGGATAGCAATTTTTAGAACAGTTATTAACTTATTTGTTGCAAAATCACCCCTACCTTGTAGCTTTTCGAGTCACCTTTGTATCCAACTTGTCCAAATTTCCATTTGTCACCTTGTGCACCAGTCGTATTCCAAACTAGCGTTTTTGTTTCATTTGTTTGAATGTAGACTTTCAAACTCCCGATATCTTCTCCTTTCATGTGATACCAAAACTGCAAACAAATAGGTTTACCCGGACCAATTGTACTGCTGGCCAGAATGGCTCCCTCACGAGCCTTCTGCTCCGATGCTTCCAGAAATAGGTATTTTCCTTGATAGATAGGTAAATAAATACATTCAAACAAAGGAATAGGAGAAGTGAATACATGAATAAACTTAGAAAGGACAAAAGACTTAAAGTCAAACAAAGTGCATCAGAAATCTTATCAAAGCTTTTGGTCTTTTACACGTTGTCATAATAAGAACGTTTAGTTTGGAACAGCTGTCAAGTTCAGTTGATGTATCAGGCCATCATTTAAGAGCTATTCCTTTGTCTTGGCATTTTCTTTATTGCGTTGTTTCTGCTATTATTATAGCTATTTTAATTTTCTTTTTAAATATAAAATCAGTGCAGCTTGCTGTTCATGGGATAGTTTGTCGCACTTGGTGGCGCCTTTCCAAAAGGGAATACGAAGAGAAAACTGAATACTTGAGACTCAAACCAACCTTCAGGTCCAAGTGTGGTGTGATCATAATCCGGGCCAGTGTTCTTCGTGCGTGTTGAGCCAGATCCAATGCGCCAATGAGCCTGTTCCATCCCGCATAGCCCATGCTCAAAATCGCATTTAACTAACACAATGCACAAGAAAGACTTCGTAAGTAGAGAGCAGTGTCATTTCTGTTGTCGGCAGGAAATGATAAATCATAGAAAGGTAGTGTTTATTTGTATTATATCACGCCTCGATAGGATACCTGGATTACTCAGATTTTATCAATTTTCCTACTGCTTATTGGCAGACATACCTTATTCGCGTTATGAACAAAACGAGTTTTAGAAAAGTAATTGGGTCCATTTCCCTGTATGGAAACCAATGTTTTTGCACTTGCCTTTCATAACAATATATTTTTAAGCGACTGCCGGTTTCGCTGCTAAAGGTAAAAAATCGCCTTCATTTTTCAATAAATATACAACAAGATTCTTACTTCCGTACCTTTGTTTCCAACACACTGGTACAAATTTAACAAATCCGTATAGTTAAACCAATCACATCTCAGATTAAGCAAAGGACAGTGCGAAGACCCTGAAGAAACAAAAGTACGGTCCAATGAATTTATTATTTGATTATTACATAATGTCGTTTATTACTACAACTTTTATTAAACTTTAATATATCTATTTGTTATTTATTTTATTATTCATTCATTTATTATTGCTGCGTATTAAACATTTAAACAGATTTTGATATTTTATTTATTTGTTTTTTTTCTACCTTTCCCTTGCTTGTGTAATATTTGTTATCTAGCTCTTATTAAAAACGTTAATTTCATATTGTATATCACCTCGGTGTTAACGTCACGTACAATTGCATGATGCATCACCGTATATTGGTATTTCAAATCCCAGTAACTATACTAGGAGTAATCGGAGCTTAGGAGAGTGTGTTCGATGTTTGTAAGTAGCCTGCGTAGCAGGCGCTTGAAAGCAGTGGGCGGAAGAGAGAACGGGAGCGCGCGGGGGAGACACGCGAGGGGTGAGAGTGTCTCCTTCTCGCGCGCCCGTTTTTTCTTGTGCCCACTACTTCCAAGCGCCTGCTACGCAGGTTAGTTTGATAGGCGTACAGATAGCAGTTGAGGCGGAAGGGTGGTTGCGATATAGATAAATGTGATTATGGCATATTTTGAACGTAAGGGTTGCGTACAGCGAAACCTTTAAAGTGTGTATCATTATAAGAACGTTTTCAAAAGATATCGTATGGTTCGGTGTCAAGTGCTTGTAATCGGAGGAGACATTGGCCAGAGTGCGTCGGGTGAGTTACAGGGCGCAGTTGCTCAAAGGCCGATTAGTGCTTAACCCGGCATTCTTTTTCTTTCTTTAAAAACATTTCTTCGGATAATTTTCTCTGTTATTTTTAAGAGCATCCAATCATCAACTTGTTGACGAAATGAATTACATTGAATTTACTGTTTTAAAAGCTTTCACATCTGAATTCAAACTTCGCCCCTATCAAAGCCTTCAATGGAACGTGTGTGCGGCTCACGTCAATAACATTTCCAGTAATTTGGTCGAGCGTGTTGATTTCAGTGACACGAGAGTGGCGCTACTTTGGGCTGGTTTATAAGTTTTTTTTCTAATAAATAACATAGAGTTAAAGTGTTCGTTTGTCCAGTGCCGAAAATATCACAAGTCATGATCAAATGGCCGCCGAAATTCACATCTCGGTAGATTTACTTTGTGGCACAACTTCTGCCGAGCTACACAACTCGGTAGATTTACGTTGTGACACAACGGCCGCCGAGCTACATAACTCGGTAAATTTACTTTATGGCACAACGGCCGCCGAACTAAACCCGGTTTGATGCATGCACCAGGAGTCGCAGACATTTTCCAAAGGCAGTGACGAACCATACCTTTGTATCCAACTTGTCCAAATTTCCATTTGTCACCTTGTGCACCAGTCGTATTCCAAACTAGCGTTTTTGTTTCATTTGTTTGAATGTAGACTTTCAAACTCCCGATATCTTCTCCTTTCATGTGATACCAAAACTGCAAACAAATAGGTTTACCCGGACCAATTGTACTGCTGGCCAGAATGGCTCCCTCACGAGCCTTCTGCTCCGATGCTTCCAGAAATAGGTATTTTCCTTGATAGATAGGTAAATAAATACATTCAAACAAAGGAATAGGAGAAGTGAATACATGAATAAACTTAGAAAGGACAAAAGACTTAAAGTCAAACAAAGTGCATCAGAAATCTTATCAAAGCTTTTGGTCTTTTACACGTTGTCATAATAAGAACGTTTAGTTTGGAACAGCTGTCAAGTTCAGTTGATGTATCAGGCCATCATTTAAGAGCTATTCCTTTGTCTTGGCATTTTCTTTATTGCGTTGTTTCTGCTATTATTATAGCTATTTTAATTTTCTTTTTAAATATAAAATCAGTGCAGCTTGCTGTTCATGGGATAGTTTGTCGCACTTGGTGGCGCCTTTCCAAAAGGGAATACGAAGAGAAAACTGAATACTTGAGACTCAAACCAACCTTCAGGTCCAAGTGTGGTGTGATCATAATCCGGGCCAGTGTTCTTCGTGCGTGTTGAGCCAGATCCAATGCGCCAATGAGCCTGTTCCATCCCGCATAGCCCATGCTCAAAATCGCATTTAACTAACACAATGCACAAGAAAGACTTCGTAAGTAGAGAGCAGTGTCATTTCTGTTGTCGGCAGGAAATGATAAATCATAGAAAGGTAGTGTTTATTTGTATTATATCACGCCTCGATAGGATACCTGGATTACTCAGATTTTATCAATTTTCCTACTGCTTATTGGCAGACATACCTTATTCGCGTTATGAACAAAACGAGTTTTAGAAAAGTAATTGGGTCCATTTCCCTGTATGGAAACCAATGTTTTTGCACTTGCCTTTCATAACAATATATTTTTAAGCGACTGCCGGTTTCGCTGCTAAAGGTAAAAAATCGCCTTCATTTTTCAATAAATATACAACAAGATTCTTACTTCCGTACCTTTGTTTCCAACACACTGGTACAAATTTAACAAATCCGTATAGTTAAACCAATCACATCTCAGATTAAGCAAAGGACAGTGCGAAGACCCTGAAGAAACAAAAGTACGGTCCAATGAATTTATTATTTGATTATTACATAATGTCGTTTATTACTACAACTTTTATTAAACTTTAATATATCTATTTGTTATTTATTTTATTATTCATTCATTTATTATTGCTGCGTATTAAACATTTAAACAGATTTTGATATTTTATTTATTTGTTTTTTTTCTACCTTTCCCTTGCTTGTGTAATATTTGTTATCTAGCTCTTATTAAAAACGTTAATTTCATATTGTATATCACCTCGGTGTTAACGTCACGTACAATTGCATGATGCATCACCGTATATTGGTATTTCAAATCCCAGTAACTATACTAGGAGTAATCGGAGCTTAGGAGAGTGTGTTCGATGTTTGTAAGTAGCCTGCGTAGCAGGCGCTTGAAAGCAGTGGGCGGAAGAGAGAACGGGAGCGCGCGGGGGAGACACGCGAGGGGTGAGAGTGTCTCCTTCTCGCGCGCCCGTTTTTTCTTGTGCCCACTACTTCCAAGCGCCTGCTACGCAGGTTAGTTTGATAGGCGTACAGATAGCAGTTGAGGCGGAAGGGTGGTTGCGATATAGATAAATGTGATTATGGCATATTTTGAACGTAAGGGTTGCGTACAGCGAAACCTTTAAAGTGTGTATCATTATAAGAACGTTTTCAAAAGATATCGTATGGTTCGGTGTCAAGTGCTTGTAATCGGAGGAGACATTGGCCAGAGTGCGTCGGGTGAGTTACAGGGCGCAGTTGCTCAAAGGCCGATTAGTGCTTAACCCGGCATTCTTTTTCTTTCTTTAAAAACATTTCTTCGGATAATTTTCTCTGTTATTTTTAAGAGCATCCAATCATCAACTTGTTGACGAAATGAATTACATTGAATTTACTGTTTTAAAAGCTTTCACATCTGAATTCAAACTTCGCCCCTATCAAAGCCTTCAATGGAACGTGTGTGCGGCTCACGTCAATAACATTTCCAGTAATTTGGTCGAGCGTGTTGATTTCAGTGACACGAGAGTGGCGCTACTTTGGGCTGGTTTATAAGTTTTTTTTCTAATAAATAACATAGAGTTAAAGTGTTCGTTTGTCCAGTGCCGAAAATATCACAAGTCATGATCAAATGGCCGCCGAAATTCACATCTCGGTAGATTTACTTTGTGGCACAACTTCTGCCGAGCTACACAACTCGGTAGATTTACGTTGTGACACAACGGCCGCCGAGCTACATAACTCGGTAAATTTACTTTATGGCACAACGGCCGCCGAACTAAACCCGGTTTGATGCATGCACCAGGAGTCGCAGACATTTTCCAAAGGCAGTGACGAACCATACTGAAAAATATGAAGGCTTAATCCAAAGTAAAATTTAACAGCAAACTTCTGAGAGATGAACGCTTTGGACGATTCAGCAAACACAGATCGATGTACGCTTTACGAAGATTCAGCAAACTTTTTAAAAGATGGCCGCTTTGCGAAGCTTTGACAGAGTATCAGACCTCATCAAACCTTTGAAAGATGAACGCCGAGGACACAAGTATTACCACGGGTTAGCGCGTCAAAGTGAGGCAAAACATAAGCAAGCGCCTCAAAGCGAGGCAAATGTGTGTCGACGACGACGACGAAAAATGCAATCTCAAACTGAACCCTCCCTTATTAATTACACAGGACACCCAATAATGCACAGAACACCCACCACAAATTAGGGGTAGCGTTCTCATACCTCGAACGCAATTACCTGCAACTGATGATCGTAGATCGATCGAAACATGTCTTGCTCCAAATTCAAAGTTGTGGTTCATTTTTAAGGAAACTGTCGTTTCTATTTCATTTGACATTCTGGGACTGACCACTTTAGTATTTAGAATCACATTTTAGCAAGGGAAATATACCGTTACCCGCTAGTAGGTATTGCCATCTACAAATTTGGTGGCAACAGCTATTCTATCCGGATTCTGTCCCGATCTAGAAACAAACTAAGGATATTGGCAGTAGCTTTCATTCTTAGATCAGTCAAGACACATATTATATAACCTGCGCACTATTCTGTGCATAGTCATGAATATATAAAGAACGACCTTTATTAGTTAAAATATTGAAAAGTTTACCGCTCACACTCTGTAAAAATACCTTTAACGCTAGATTCAGACGTGTAGACATCTACACCAAGTTTATGTAACGCCGGTTAAACGTTTACTAACTAAATTATACTAAGCTTAAAGACAAATCGCTGTTTACTTTAATGTGCAGCAAAAAGAGCCATCAAAGAAAAATACATGTAACAAATGCAAAATTACCACATATAGATGGCTCATCTGTTCCATCTTCACAGTTCGTATCTCCATCGCACGTGAGAGACCATGGTACGCAATCACCTCCAGCGCAAGAAAAAGCATCTTCTGAGCAGCTTTGCCCTATATATTAATGAGACCCTAAAGTAACAAATCAGGGGCACCCAACGAGAATATAGTTCAAAAACACTTAAACATAGCATTGTTGAACGTATTTTAGTATTTAAACGGTAGATATAGGCATATTTTTATCCTTTAAACATTTTTCATCTGTTCGGATTTCTTAGATGAAAGTCTAGTGATCCGAAAATTATAGAGATCAAAACTCACCTTTTCGAAAATTTTAGCCAGAAAAAAGGCTCCCGAAAATTCTAGGTGACCTTTTTAGGGTAAAAATCCGTTATAAATGGACAATTATACCATTTTTCAAATGTTCGAAGATCTTAGGAGAAGCAAGCAAGGAAGCAAGAAATTTTACGACAAATGTTCCGAAAATTCTAGAACTCAAATCGTCTTTCGAACAGATATATTCCGAAAATTGGCGTTGGGTGCCTCTGAAAAATATTCCAGGAAATTAAATAACTAACTTTTGAGTCTGCTGCTTACCGCATCTTGCCTCGTCTGTTCCGTCTCTGCAGTCCTTTCTCAAGTCACATAGCTTCTCTACATCAAGACATTCTCCAGTGGGACAAACAAAATCATTTGTGAGGCATTTGCAGTTCTTCTCGTCTGAGTTGTCCACGCAAGCATTGTCTCCATCACATACTAGGTCTTTGCTTACGCATTGTCCATTGTCGCACTGAAGACTACTTTTGCTCTCGCATATGAATCCTAAATAAAGTTTGAGTGATAGTTGATCCGTGAAGTAAAAAAGCCGCTGCTATTATTTGTATATTTCAATTACTCATTTCTTCATATAAGTGCACAGACTTTGCGCCGCCGGACAGCTGAACGCACCCAGATGGTTTTAAGAATCCCATTAATGGACAAAAGTGATGACTATTAAAAGAGAGTACGTACCTGGTAAACTATGAGGCGGTAGTCGCTCACACTGTTTTGTAGCAATACTAATGTTTTTAAGTGCCCCGCGATTAATCCCAGACTGCTGGTTTCCGATACCCACAATAAGAACCTACAAAATAGAAGGAATGATTAGATAAGTCAATCCTACGACGACGAGAAAACATAGAATATGCTACCACAAGGACATCATACCTTAAAATCCTCAAGTGGTTTGAATGACACTTGGCCTGTCTGCCAGGTTTGGCCCTGGTAACCATGGAGACTCCACAAAGAGACATTTGATGATGTCAGCAGTATAAATTTTATTGATGATCCAGAATCATGAGCGGATAAAAGATAAGAGAAGGACAGACACAACCCAGTTTTCTCATAAATAAGATTTTTTGAAACCCGTGGGCTCTCTAGAACAGCAACTTTGCCGTCAAAACGGGCCAAAATTCCTGAAAATACATAAAATAACACATCAACTAATTCCCACCCAAGTATCTGGGTATTATGCTCAACAACCATCTCTCATTTAACGAACATATCGACCACGTAGCATCCAAGGTATTTCAGAAACTAGGAATTCTTTCAAGAGTGAATCTATAGTGTTCCCGCTTTTGGAGTACAGTGACGTCAACTGGCATGGCTGTGGTCTTGAGAACCAGCAAAAGATCGATCGTTTGCAAAGAAGAGCTAGCCGCATTGTTCTCAAGAACTCTCGAGAACTGACAAATGATGCCATCATCGAACGACTCGGATGAAATCGGCTCTCCGATAGACGAAAGGAACACATTAAAGATATGATTTAACATCAGACGCTATGACATTCATTCATATGACACTAGGTTTAGCGAGAACCTTTAAGGCGATAAAATTAACCTAGAAATTTCTAAGCGTGCTTTTTATAATAAAGGGGCAACTATTTTTAACTCATAGTTTTAAGCATTTTTTAACATTTCGCTGTTTTTAGAATCTACCATCTATATAAGTTTTTCTTTTTTATCATTACTTTTATCTGTCCCCTTTTAAGCTTCATTATGTTTTTTATTAATTAATTAATTAATTCACGGGGCCCACATTGATAGCAGTTATATAACTGACGTGGTTACCCTGTGTAAATAATTTATTTATTATTATTATCACTTTCTTTATTATAACGTTCAAAGAATACCACCCAAAAACAATATAACATCCTCTTTTCCCGAAACAGGGCTTGGTGACAAGAAAGCAAGGAACCGCAGGAATAACGGGCCTGTGGCAACCAAGCGTTTGTCGGCTCTTCTTATCATTGTGTAGCAAATGTGACGGAAGAACTCTGTAGCGTCAAAATTAGTTTTTCATTCTGCAGTCACCAACTAAATTGCACAAGGTATTATTGGCAAAATGGTACCCTGTCAATTGTTGGAGCTATATTCAGGTGACATTACATCATATTTCCGTCGAGACCAAAGGCTAATGTACATGAGTTATTATAGAGTCAACAATAGGCCTTTCCAGATTCTGCTCTGAAAAAGCTAAAAAGTTGCTAAGAAATATGCCAAAAAGTTGCTCAAAAGTTGCTCAAAATTGAAAAAGTTGCTCAAAAATTTTGTTAAGTTTTCTTCGAATATTTTTAAGACAGCATGTCTAATTAGTCTCGCTTGCTTTAGAAAAGCGAGACTCTTAAAATGCGGTCGTTTTTTTTTTTTTTCGGTGGGACCTAGTTTGTAGGCCCCGCGTTCCTTGCGAAGACCGTGGAAAATGGGGATAAGAATCGTGACGTCTTTCATTGTATGGAGATGAGTCTCGTGATGAGAATGCAGTTTATTTCGGCGATGACTGAAATGACGCATGTAATTTTGATAATGACGTAATTTTCCTCGAATGGAGGCCCTTGATTTTGGTGTAATTATGCGCGACATGCAGGCACATCCCCAGGCAGGATGAGAAAATATTATAGCGGGGAAATCCTCAGGATTTTGTTTCTTTTTAAGGCGTTACCTTTCTCAGAATACTGTCGGAATTACAGGAAATGTACGGTTAAATAGATTCACTTTGTTTTATGTATTTAATTGATAGATTTTCGCAGTTGTTACGATGTGAAGTCGTGTTGCACTTCATAAATACTTGAGATATGAAGTATCCACTGTCACGTAATTCTTACGTGCGCACGTGCGTAAAATTTGCGTTCGCAAATAAAATAAAGGCAATGTATGAAAGGCTGCACGTACAATTATGTAAGCGTAAAAGTAGAAACTCGCTTAATTTGACTTTTAATCTCAATACTTTATGTCTTACCTCTATTTGACTTACGTGATTAAAATTTACGTGCGTTAACGTGCGGAGCCAAAAACGCATCAGTGGAAATCCACCCTAACGTGTCACGGATGTGTTTATACGGGTAGCTTTGAACTTGACTAACCGCACACTCTACTTGCAGCATTTCATGTCCATAGTTAATAGAAATCCCATATCGAGCTTTTCCGGAACGGGTTGGTCCAAGAATTCTATAGCTTGAAAGCGTTGATTATTTTGGAACAACTGATCACTTCAGTGGTCGGAAAAAAAGGAATAATCTTAATGAGCAAAACTTCAAGGTTTACTGGAAAATCAGGATCGAGAAATCAGGGATCAAGGATCGATTAAAAAGAACTTGAAAATAAAATAAATAAATCGTGGATCAGTGATGATGTGGGCCGCAGACTGTAGATAAATTTCACAGAACATAACCTCGTTCGCTGTACTGAACGCTAAATTCAAGTAAATTAATCCGAGTCTGTCTGAGTCAGTGATTGATTTGACGAGAAAGTGAAATTTTCCAGAAAAATGAAACGCTTTATCCTGGTGATACTGTAATACAAGAAAAAAATTTTAACAGTTTTTAATTTTTAAGTGTACATTTGCTTTCAGTACTCCTTATTTTTCTTGTGATTATTGTATGCACGACCCCACCAGCAATGCTGATCTTTTTATCGCGCCATAAACTAAGGTTCTTACCTACGTACCTACCTACCCATCCATCCATCCATCCATCCATCCATCCATCCATCCATCCATCCATCCATCCACCCATCCATCCACCCACCCAACCACCCATCCATCCATCCAACCACCCACCCACCCATCCATCCATCCGTCCATCCATCCATCCATCCATTCATCTATCTATCTATGCATGCTGTGCACAACTCTAAACATTGTACTCTAAGACTCTACGGAGATATTAAAAGTAGATACTAAGCAGCTATGGAAAATGTCATTACTTTCATGCGATATTGATATCTTATAAAACGGACAACAAATTCAGCAGGAATACGCGCAAACTGAATTAACTGTGTGTTGTATAATGTTCTGTTCAACTTACACTTTTTTCCTGTGCTGAACATATACTGTACCGAGCCGTATCTTCGTCCGGTACAAAGAAGCTATGTATATTTATACTGACAGAGTCATGGGTCCCTGATACCGATAAAAATCATCGTTCAATTTTTCGAGTGTAGAATCCCCGAAAGAGTACTGCTCAATGGAGCAATATCAATATGTAGAAGGTTTTCAAAGGTTTCAAACCGGTTTGAGGCTAAGATGTGCAGCCTGTCTCTCCTTGCAATTTTTACTTTTTGAGTATATACATTATGACATACAACACTCGTTTTGTATTCCAAACGAAAAAGTGGTATAAGGCACCGGGGCCTTTGACATTAAAACTCATCTCCAAGCAAGCGAGACTCAACGCTACTAAGAGCGTTCCTGTTTTAATAATAATTGCTTTGTAATCAGCATTAAGGTACAACTAAGTAACTAGTTACAACAAATTAGGCAACCTTTAGTTGATTACAGAGAGTTACTTTTTAATTTTTAATTTTTATTTATTTATTTTTTAATTTTAAAAATTAAAAAAAAAAATTTAACTTGTTTATTTAAAAAAAAGCGGTTATTCAGCATTTTGGTTCAAAATAGCCCAAAAGTTACCAAAAAAGTGCTAGTTTTCCGAAATGTTGCTAGAAGTTGCTCTCTGACAAAAAAGTTGCTTAAAATCCTAAAAGTTGCTAAAAAGTTGCCGAGCAGAATCTGTAAGGCCTAGTCAACAATACAAACCTTTGCCAGACGGTGAAGGTGTCCAACCATTGTCTTTACTTTTCCACGAGCAAAGGTCAGAAGTGAAGCTGCAACCCTCTACTAGGATAGCTAATAAAAAGAATAAAAGTGGAATCTTGTACTGGATAATGAATACTTCAAATAAACAAGAACATTTTTACATGCAGCCGGGACTGTCATACCTGAGATATGAACTTCGTTAATTTGCCTTGAAACCTCTGTCGTATATGACAAGGAATCGACCAGGTCATACGTCACCTAACACATGACGATACACAGTGTCATTTGTAAGGCAAATGCTTGGTAAAAGCATAATCATTTAATAAGAAATTCAAACTTCTTACATTAATTTGGTATGTTCCTTCCTGTTGAAAGGTGTCGAAACTAGAGTTGAAATAGCGCTCTTGACAATCCATCACTAAGCCATTATGAACTAAAATCCTTTGCGTACCAAATCTTAAATGTAAGCGAGTGGGACATCGAGAGCAGTACAATCCACGGCAGCAATATTTGTAATACGCTATATGGTTGAAGAAGAGAAAATGACTCGACAGTCTAAGCAGGTTAATTAAGATCAAGCAAGCGTGTTGTCTGAAAATTTTTATTTGTTACAAAAAAATTATATTCTTTAAATTTATAGTTATTAGTGCTATATATGGTAGCTTTGGAGTTCAAATTATGGTTGATGGTTTTCCACTAACAAAACAAAATGTTTGCTACGAGCTATTTTGGATAAGCAAATCATGCTACCTAGTTAATAAAATACCTTGAATTCGAAGTTTTTCACCAGTCTTGAGGGTGAACTTTTTAGGAATAGACGTTATGTTAAAGTTTATGTATCCAACACCTGTAGGAATTGCAAATTATACCAACAATAAGACAGATTTCAAATCCTTCATAATCTCCATAGAAGGAAAATCGATGTTTTCCAAATAAGAATTTCTGTAAAGACAACTATTTATCCGATACGTAAGACAGGTCCCTTGCACCACTCGTCATGATCCGTTTTAAAGGCCATAAACAACTTTGACAACTAATTTGTGAAGGGGGAAAGGACCTTTCAAACCATACCCCAATGAGCAAGTTTCAGTCAAACTAGCCAGAAAAAAAAAACACACAAAAAAAAAAAAACAGGTTAAGATGACCGGAAATCATTCAACGAAAAGGTTGTTCTTAAGTTACTTTAAAAGAACCTTACAATCCTCAGAATTTTGACGGAACCTTTCCGGCTAAAATGACGCTAATATTACATACCCAACAAAAGGAAAATCCTGGGAAGAAAAAGCAAAAAAAGGGTATGGAGAGAAAGCGAAAGGTAAAAGTCTAGGGGATAAGGAAGCGCTGGGCTATGCAGGCGTCAGTAAATAGCAACGAGTCTCCGCTTGAGAGAAACAGTTCGTGGGAAAACATGTGCAGACACAGACAATTTTAACGCCTATGAAGGGTGTCTTCGTTCAGTAGCATCAGCTACATGCAGTTATTTATCGATATTTACCTGGCTTCACCCAAAATATGTGAGCCGCAGTTATTAGGCCTTTGTATGTCCCATTTGGTAGCTTCATTCTTACGGAGGCACAATCACTTCCTCCTGATTGCTTTATTAGTAGCTCCACAGAGTACAAGTGGCATTTCCTTAACCATATCTCTTTGGATATCTTGAGAGAGGGAAATCTAAAGAAACGTACACAAAAACGAGTGCGGATGATAATTTTACTCATAAAAAAAACGATACACTGTGTTTGACTTTTCATAGCGAAAGTTTATTTTCATGAGGTAATGGTTTTAGGTTTTTACGTTCGTCCTAAGGAACCAAATTCAAATGTTAATTAGCGTCTTTTGTTAAGGCAAAGCAAATAAAATTTTTAGTCCGGTATTTCCTGCGGTTAGTGATTCATTAGTTGTATTATCGCTAATTTTCAAAAAGTAAAACCAAAATTTGACTCGTTTTAATTCAGCCAAAAACGAATTGTTTTTTTTAGGCTCAGTAGATAAACACTTTTGCACTGATCGCAGTCTAAAGTGGATAAAGGGAAGTACGACGAAGCGCCGTTTAGTTTTCAGGAGAAAATAACCTTTTTTATCAAATGACAATGTATTCTTACTTGTCCCATTGATTGTGGTCGGTCCAAAAGTCCAGTTTTATCAGACGTAGTTTGTCTGACGCTTCGTCTTCCTTTATTTTTTCAACGAGCTCTACCCTCTCTGGTTGTAACCAAAGCTCGCAATTGTCATCTCGTGCGACAAAGAAGGTGTAGTTACCGCTTTCAGGTACCTTACGCGAGACAAAAAGAAAAACAAATAAGATTAGTGACATGAGTGGTATGAGTTACTATACCTGTCACTGAAAGCGCAAGGGATGTCAGCAACGGGTGCATTTTACATGAAAAGGGAAATATTAAAGGAAAAGAGATATTTGGGTTGACATATAGAAAATGGTTGGAAAACAGACAAACGCCCAGAAAATAAAGATCGGAGCAGAAAATTAAAAAAAATTATCCCTGCAATCCTTTTAGGATTCTTGGTCGAAAGTGTACAACACCTTAAAGTTCAAATTTATAAGCATAATATGGGACCAAATTTTACAGAAAAAATAATATTAGAACTAAGTACCTGCAAATACCCTGTCAGACGTTGTCCGTGATTTGTATGGAAATTGGAGGGAGAATCAAACTGCCGGAGAATGTTCACAACATCTGGATCAGTGCTAGGAAGCCTGTTGTCTGCCCGCAAACTCGTTATCGTACCAGAAGGAATATTGTACCAAAGTTCTTGAAGAACGCCACGAAGACTATCTTCGCTTTCTGTGTATTTAATAATGGTCGAATATATTTGTCAATACCAAGAAAAGCAAAAACGTGTATGCTTTTTAGAAGCAATGCTCATAAAAATAGCCGCAATTTTCGTGTGTGCATCATTATTTCTTCTGTTCACATCAGGGTTGAACACTCTATCTTGCGCGCTCCAAAGTCACTATCAAGATCTCATTTCTTATGCACAACATGGGTGCCAGCATGTCCAAACAGTGAGAGCGTGTCAAATTTGCAACGTGGAGATCTTTTAAGAAAATGTTCCTTTGGATTATTCGGTGTTCAATTTGATGAACGAAAAACTATTATCTTTTTCGAGGAATTAAGTTTATGTTATCAATGTAAATGGAGAAAAAACGTTTACATTTCTCACCTATTGTCGTTATCACAACCTCACACAGGCTTAAATCGCCCCCACCGTCTTCATAAATGGTTACATTTGAAGCAGAAATCAACGGTTCACAGATCATTAGTGTTTTTTGTCTGTCCTTCCAGGAGTAAACTTTACAGTTTTCTTTTACGGTTTCCAAATTGTTCCTTAAAACGACATTATGTTTGGTCATTTCTGCAAGGCAGCACCCCAGGTTGTTAATGATCCGGATTTTGCTGATAAATGCTTGTCTTTGCAAAGTTACACTCCACCAGACTGGCTGACCCTGTGGTAAAGAAAGTCACAACAAGACCGTACATTCGGTATTTGTTGTGGTTCAATTTATTCTAAGTTGAACCTCTTTGTTTTTAGTTTCAAACTGGATACCACATGTTACCATGTTCAAAAACAAAGGGAATTAAAATTTAAGTCAAATGTAAACTTAAACCACACCATATATTTGGTAAAAGGGTGGGGGACGTTTCTAGAATGGGTCAGCTCAAATCAAACATATTATATAGCAGGCATTTTGTAAACTAGCAACTCATTTACAAATATAGAGAAAAACCACGAGAAAAGCTAGTTCATGATCGGCATCTCATAAGCTAAGCCGGGTACAACTGAAATGGATTGTTACTGCAAAGCACTTACCCTTTGCCCTTTAACTGTGAAGCAAGAAGCAGCGATACCGTCGACGGCATAGAAGGGCTTACCGCTGACGTTGGCCTGAGATGAATGGATAGATTGCCAACCGACCAAAAATCTTCCTAAGCATTATTGAATAATAGTAAGAGCAAAATTAAAGAATCATCTTCAAGAAAAGTTTCCAAAATTTGTCTTGTGATCTTCTATGGATCTAAGACAAACGTTTTCCCCCCAAAAAAACTGGATATCAAATTACCATAACCAAGGACTTACGTTCATCTGTTTCACAGATCGTGAATCTAACTGGACGCCGACGAGAACAAGACACTGGGGTAAGCTTCCATTCAAGTGAAAACCACCTTTTAACTAGAAAGCCACACTCTCCACTCCCTGACAAAATATCGGGATACCTAAAACGCCAAATGCTAGCTGAAATATTGCTGCCGTCTAACCAATGCCATGTGCCAAACTTGCGAATACCAACAAATGCTTTGATGTTGTCATCTGGGTACTTATTGGATATGTTAGTGAGATGTTCTGAGATAATTTTTCTTTTAATCTCAGATTCAACGACGGCAAGGTCGCTTCCTAGTCGTTGGCACGACACACGAGCCGAGTTCCATTCTCTGGCAAAGGAAGTCCCCGCAAATACTCGAAAACACGAATCATTCACCACGAACCAACCGGAATCACACGTTGATCCTGTGAAACGAATCACCAATGTAACGTTTATACTGAGTGAGTCTTTTGCCAAAAAATAATAGTCAATCTGATTCAATGATGCTTGCCGTTAAGAAAAGATAGTTTTACAGATTATACAGGGTGTCCCAAAAGTTCGTTCCTCTAATTTCCTGCGCTATAACTTTTGATCATGAAATTTCTAAAATATGTTTCTTATTTTATCGAGTACTTGTGTTCAGAAGTTCAGCTATCGGCATCCCCCCTTTGTTTTTTAATCACATTCTGTAGCCGTTGCTGTATTAAGTGAGATAAGCCATGTAGCAAGTAGAGCCCTAGATGATTCATTTTGAGTTTTTTTATCACGTAGTATGCAGGAGTCACTTCGTCCCCCAAACAATATAATCTTTTAGATTAGGCAGCTGAAACAATATATTTTGGGCGTGGATCCAAATTTGAGACGAGCTGAACGTTGCTTGGCGGGCGGAAGTAAAGGGTTTTTTTTGCCATCTCAGGGGTCTCCAAACTTTGCTTTTCATGAACCTGCTCCAGACTTCACTTGCTAACTGTTGTAAGAGCTACCTCGTTGGGTTTCCTGTTTTGTACATAGCCTTCTTTAAAACTATTTTAGCGGTTTTATTCAGGACTTTCGGTCTTTCCCCTCGTTTCTTGTCTGTAAAACCTTCATTTCTGACCATCTTACCTGACCCAACATTCGGATTTTTCCTTTGTTTTAGGAATTTCTTTAACTGAAAAAACAGTAGATAAAAATATATACTTCTGCTTGCAGCTGAGTGTTTTTTTCGTTGAGAGGGTTTATCTTTCAGGATATTCACACAAAACAAATTAGGAGTTCGAGTATTTCGGGCTACAAAATGCAAAAAATATATGGCCGGAAAATTTACTCGTGCAGCGCACCCTTGGCGCCAAATTATACAAATCGAATTTTGAGTGAAAAGATGGCACAAGAAGTATGAAATATTAAATTAGATTGGAAGTCACAACTTTGGTTTAAATTATGTGCTGATCAAGTCCAATTGTACTGCGTTACAGACTTATAAAGTAAAGGAGAGAATTTTTTGGACACCCTGTATATATCTAACCGATTTTTTGAAAACCAACCTGACGAAATTTGTGGTCGTTTGCGTGAAAAGGCGTCAAAAGGCAGGTTTCTTAAGCCCGAGAAGCTCCAATATCACAGTAACGAAGGAAGATGAAAGGAGAAAAGGAAAGAGAGGGGAGAAGGAAAGGAGGAGAAGAGAAAAAAGCAATGGTTGCACTCTTAGTTTTTGTAACAGCTACTGTGGAGATAGTTTTTGGCCGAAAAAAATTGTTGGACGCCAAAACTCCATTTCGCATATAACGTTTTCAAAAGTCCGGCTAGATGAATTTTTGAAAACATTACCGCCAAAAAGATCCTTTCCCTTAGGCAGTTTTTTTCTTCGTTCAAAAATGTCTCCAGAATAGCTAATACAAAAACTAAGAGTGCAACCATTGCTTTTTTCTATTCTTCTCCCTTTTCGCTCCGCCAGACTCCACAACCTGGTTGAGGTCATTATTATCTAAGGTCTTGCCTATTTTTCCTTTCCTTTTTCTTCGTTAGTGTGATTTCCCAGATTATCGGACGCAAAAAAAAAACTGCCTTTTGGCCCTCTTAATCCACTCAATAGGCTGCCAAATTGGATAGGTCCTTTTTTAAAAAAAGTCTGTATTTATAGTATCTATAAGGATTAAGTGCTAACTAAAATTTATTATCCTCTTCTCCTGATTTAATATCACTTAAAAACTCCGTTTAAATCAGATTCATGTACAATAAATTTAAATGCTATTACCTGAGATGTTCTTAGGCTTTTGGCAGACAAATCCTTCTTTTGATAAGCAGTTTTTGTCGTTGATTCTCCAGCCTTTAGAATTCCACTTCTCTTCGAAAATCAGGTCTGTGCACCAACCATCACCTGACGGTTGAAAGGATCCCCATGGTAACGACTGAGTTGAAAGCAGTTGTTTTCGGACAGTAATCCAGCGCCCGTCACTGACAACATGAGCCCCGACGAAAAAGAAATTAAAGTATCTTAGGGGCTCCACATAATCATAGATGAATCTTGAAAGTGCACGCAGTTTGACGTCATCACCAAAAACAGCGAGTCTTCCTCCAAGGTTTTGACACTTGAACATGGCGTCTTTCCATGTTTCGTAACTAAATTTTATGTGTATTCTAAAACATGATTCGCCCAAATTAAGCCAGCCAAGTGGGCATGCATTTTTTTCTGAAATTGGGAAAAAAACAACAACAATCCATACACAGTTTCTGAAATCACATTAAATTGTATATGTTTACTACAACTTATTTTTCTCTGATTTTTCCCACTGTTTTGTCTTTTGTTTTTTTTTTTATTTTGTATAAAAAACAAAACAAACCAAACAAATTTTCTAAACAACTTACCAAAGTTTTTGTTTTTTTTTAAATAAAAAATCCCTTTTTTTTTTTTTTTTTTTTCATTTTAACCCGAATAACTAGATATCTCGTTACCGGCCAGCAGTGGTATTAACCTTACTGTTAAAAGAAAACTAGCCGTCGTATTATATTTGGAAAAAGATGGGTTTTATGCCTAAGTCACAGACAACTTAGTATAAGTTCACTTATTCACTTACGGTCTAATGACACATTTGCAAAGAAGTACTCAGTAACTGTTTGACCACAGCAGTTATGGTATTCCTCTAAGGTAATCCCGTAAGGTAGTTTTTCTCCTCGGTTCAGAAGCAACAACTTTTTGTAATGTGGCTGATATGTCCTTGAGGAAAAGAAGAAGTCTCGAGGGAAGCAACTGAGGTCGTCTAATGAAAGCTCTTTGGTGACGCTTTTTGCACAATGGACAGTGTTTGCTGGGTACACAAAGTACATCACATCGGCGGAACTGTTTCTTGTTTGAAGAGCATGCACTGTAAACTGATAGAACCATCCATTGTGAAATGGAATTCTGTCCAATTTGAAGTCTGTAGCATCTTCCTTTATGAAGGCGTATAACGACTGGGTAACTTGAAACAAAGGAAGACAGGTTACGAATGTCTTTTGAAATTAGTTTTATGAGTTTGATCCATCTTTGAGTGTCAGCTTGTTGTAATATTTAAAAAATGCAGTGATAAATATCGTGTACATACCAAGTCGTTCACAGGATCCATTTCTGAATGCGATGTTATCTATGGCTACATCACTTGAATAGGAAACGCCCCTTACTCCCTCCATTATAATCTATAAAGATTAAACCCTTAAAGTTAGTTACTAGATATATTATAGTACGCTTGTCGGTAACTTACATAAATTGGGCTAAAAAAAAGCTGACGGAAAAACAATGCAGCAGTATACTAACCCGAGCACCCCCTTGTGAGAGTAACTACTAAACCATACTACCTTATTTCTGATTGCTGCCACATCAGCAATGAGATCCTGGTTATCAGAATCCTTTAACAAAAACCTGCATTTTTTTGTCACGTCAGGCGTTGCGCTTTACTGTCATTCAAATAGTAGACAAGTAATAGCATGCTTATAACTGAGGAATAACTATAATATCAAAAAACATCGTGCCCATCAATTAAATAAAACTGGATAATCTTAATTAATTTTCAATCAGTGTTCTAACGGTTTTGTTGCAAGGTGTTCTCTTAGTTCGTATATTCTAAATAAATGTACTCCTGCTTGTGCAAAGATGGTCGAGAGAATCAAGATCTTTTATCTAAAAGCCAGTTAAGGTAGTAGTTTGACTGTCAATCTCTTCTTTTATTTTACTTTACTTTGTTAACAGATTCTGCATCGATATGGCGCGAGCAAAGAAAAAAAATTAGCGTAGGTTATAGCCCGCTTTCTCTATTCATCAGTCAAATGGATTACCTGGTAGTGAGCTGAGGAATTGAGGAATATATCAGCTTCTAGCCATTGATTGGGGTGTGTGCCTGATTTAATCCATTCCACTGTTTCATTGCTGTTTGTTTTCATGTAGATTACCAAGCTTCCCATGAACCTTCCATACATATGATACATGAATGACAGGCAATTTGCACCTTGCGTTATAGGACTTAAAAGCCTAGCGTTATCACCATGTTGTCGAGGAAAAGATGCTTCAAGATATGCATACTTTCCATTTCCTGGAGATATTGGAACAAAATATTGACTGAGTTGACGCTTTCGATTACTACACATCCATTGAGTTTAGTTATTTTTAGAATACCAAGGAATCACAAAATTACAATTCCGGGATTTTTGCGTGATACAGATTTTAACTTTTAAAGAAATGAAGTCACTGTAGCTGCCTTTAAGTTAACGTAGTGAAAAGTAATGGCGAGTTCGTCTTATTTCTTTCAGTATTATAATTACACACTTTGTTGTTTAATTTTGCTGTAGAGAATGGCTCTAGAATTACTGTAGTCCAATAAAATGAGTCACTGTTAAAAAAATATATATCTTAATATGAAGTGAATCGGTCTCCCTCAAAATTCAGATGAACGTTACAAACTGTTAAACATAATAAGAAGCAGATTTTAAAATAAAGAAAATACCTGAAACATCAGAACGAGGACCTGTTCTCCAGCTTGGTGTTTGCCCCGAATTTAAAGTCCAGTTAAACTTCGCTTTTCCAGATTTTTCATTTGCCCATCCGCAAAACGTGGAGTTGTCAAAATCGCAGTCTAGCACTAGACACAACGCAAATAAGATCGAAATTAAAACCCAAAAAAGTGAATACCATGCAATAACTCGCCGTAAACAAGCTGATGCAAACTCCTTTATTCTTAAAAGGAGGATCGAGCAACATCCCTGCTCAACAAAGTTTTCGACGTCTTTAAGTTTTTGCCTTTTTTATCCAATTTTGTTGGGCAAGTTGGGTTCTACATATTTTAGAACCAATAAAAATGCAAAATGTTTTTAAGGCAGAGTTGCGAAGGTTTAAACAACACCTCGCCTTAAGCTTCAAATAAACGATATCTCCTTCAAAACATCGTGGGTTTTGACTGGTCCTTCATTATAGGAGACAAATAAAAGTTTTAACAAAAAGGTGGAAATCATGTAAAAATAGGTCAAAAAATGTCGCATAGCAGCGGGATCTTCAAAGTACTATAATCGGACTGCTAAGCTCATTCCTCGTGATGGTTTATAATTTTGTCGGAATTTGCAACGCGCGTGACTCCTACGAGGATCGCAAGCCAAGCGTAATATTCTCTTTGCTATAAGTTTGGATGGTGTCCACCTTGATGTCATCCAGAGTGACGTCAAGGTGCATTGTGGGTTTCCAGGCAACCGATAGACTTGCTTTTCGAAGAGTCTTGCTTTGGTCATATTTCTATTGGTTTGTTTTTAGCTGCTGTTTTAGGAGTCGATAAGTGCTTTTTAAGACGAATTTCGAAGGCAAAAGTACTTTTAAGAGAAAATGGAAGCGATTTGGATCATTAGCATTAAGATATAAGCGAAAATCGAGGTAACATAACACATGCCATGCTCGCAGACGAGTTTATACCGTATCGGCTTAGTTGGGCATTTGTTCCTTAAATGCGATGAAATGCGTTTAAGTTGGGTTTTTTACCGTCAAAACATCAGTCATTCTCCTGAAAAATATCTTTGAATTCGTGTTTAAAAGAGCGCGCCAGTGGAAAGTTCTACTGGGAAAGGTTTTAAATAAAATATTATCGCCTCTCTCATAGTATTGCCCCACCTGGCGTAGTGGTAACGAAAACGGCCCGGCGCGTAGAGGGTCCTGAGTTAACTTCCGGGTGGAACCTACTTTTCTTTTTCCCTTCTTTTCTTTTTTCTTGGTTTTTTTTTTCTCCTTTTTATTTATTTATTTTTATTTATTTTAGTTTTGTTTTGATTCTTTATACAGAGTAAAATTTTTTAAATTTATAAAATTTCTTCCCGATTGCTTTATTTCCATTTCTTCCTACTTCTTGCTCTTGCCCCGAAGTGCTACGCGAGGTTCTGCGATTCACGTATTTCTTGTTTCAGAATAAACACGTCAAACACGGTTGAATACAAATTTGCAGCTACATTTCTACAGTTTCCTTAAATGCTTGAAAAATATAGAATATGACTTATAATTTTTAGGCTGTCCAAAAAATATCAGAGAAAAAATATCTGCGAAATGCCTCGTGGCTGGGAAGGTAAAACTACTTTCTCCGGTGTATGCCATGCGTAGTCTAAACCAAATAAGATATAGTTTACCATACGTGTTAAGTGCGCTTGCCTTTCAGGAAAAACGGCGAAACTCGC